CGGGGATGCTGCCGTCGGGGTTGATCTGCCGGATGGGAATCAGGGTGTTGACAGCACCGATGGCTCTGGCATGCCGGCTGAGAGAGTGTGTTAGGCTGATGACTTCGATCTTAAATGGGAAGCTAACGGAGGCGCCTGCAAAGTGGGGATCGTTGATGAGCTCTTGCAGGCTTGCGATGTTGCTGGATGAGTGACGCTCATAATGGTGTGGGATGCCGCAGGCTTTGAGGGCGGCGTTATGCATTGCTGGGGATAAGCTGTAGTCCACGTTGGCACCAAAGATGTAGAGTCTCATCGGGTGGAAGAAGAATGACGAGTAGAGAGCCTGGGTGGCCTCCCTGGCGGTGAGCGAGGGATGCAATGGAGCAGTGGCCTCAGAGTTTCTTTCATGCGGGATTTCCGGCATCCCTTCCGGCATGACCGATGTGAAGATTTGGTTGAAACATGCTGACGGCCGCCCGAGAATCCCGGTGTTGTAAGCAATAAGGGGCAACCTCGGCCCTGGACTGGATTCTGCCATGTGGTGGACAAGGCGGACGTCGAAATTATTGGACGTGCTGGTCGCCCTCCTCGTAAACCTTGCCAAGTCGCAGCCTGTGGCTTGCGCCTTTTGGTAGTAAGACAGCCAGACTGATGCCTTCCATGGGGGCGGGTCTGAATCCGGCGACTGAAGTGTGCCCACCACTTTTGAGGTCCCCTTAACCGCGGTGGTGTTGGTGAGTAGGTGACTCTCAAGCCTCAGATCAACACTAGTGTATTCGGGGGCAAGACGTAGGCAGTGCCGCACGTAGGATTGGTACAGGGCACGCCATGGCTCGTCGGACGAGGCCGCCTCAGGAAACGCCACGTAGAGGAATATGGGAATGACGGTATCCCGTCTGACTCGAGCGACGACACGGCTGATCTCACTAGCTCGGCTCGGAGGGATTTCATGTAAGAACCGTGATTGGTGTGCCTGATCGGTAACGAGATCGTCCACAACAATCTCTATGACATCGGCGCCAACTTCGAGCTCCTGAATGTTGAGTTTGCCGCCGATTAGTGACGAGAGCGGCAGAGATATGGCATAGGTAAACTGTCTCTCTTCAGGCGGAACGCGCGCCAACGGGAAGGCAGACTCGATAAAGGGGATGGCGCCACTTGGGAGGATCAAAGAGAGGAACTTCAGAAAATGGCGCTCGGCTCTTTTCAGAGTGAGATAAGGTGCAGTCGGACGGTCGGGCTCGGTGTTGGGCGAGGATAGACGGGTGTTTCTGAGTTCGGTAGGGGTGCTCTGGTCTTCCGAAATGTTGAAGAACTCGAAGCGAGTACATTTCCGGAAGAATGCACTGGCTGCATCCACAATGTCGCGGGCTTTCTGCTCGCTTGCAATCCTGAGATGGGCCTGGATGGCTTTCGGGTCGCGGAGAATGTAGATGATAGGGTTGGTCCTTTGCAAGCGCTCCAGGGCGGACTGAATTCCCCTTTCGATCCATGAGCAGACAAGGATGGCGTTCTTCTTGTGCTTCCCGAGGACGTCGTGAAGCAGGCGGACCTGGCGGTCCTGGCAAGCAGCAGCGCCGTGGTGGAGATGACTGATGGGAGGGAGGGTGCTCTATCAAGCAGTTAGCTTCAGTTAACGGAGTGCTAGGACGTCAAGGTCAAGGTGTCGCATTTACCTCTAGGTACGGGCGCGGCCGAGAAGGCGGGAGTTGCACGAAACGATGGGAGGGAGGCAGAGGCAGAGCTCCCGCCGTCTGCAGGAAGGGGTTGGGATCTTGCGCGCACCTCCGGGTGGGCAGTTACCGGATGGTCATCCCATGATATGGCCGCGGTAGTGTATGAGCGCTTTGCGCCCGAGGCTCCCGACGAGGTCATGATGCAGATGTCACTCGAGGCATGGCAGATGTTAGGGTAGCGTGGGGCACCCGTGGTGTCCTGCAAGAGAACACAAGAACAGGGCAGTATCGGGGGTGGCACCTCGGAGGAGTGTGCTGTCTGCGGAGGATGCCGGGGTAGCTGATGGCTCAGATGGCCGGGGTGGCTTTTACGACAAAAATATACGGATAGCGGGTATTGGAGTTGAAGGTTGGCAAAGACCAGCCCCAAAATGAGATCACAAAAGTCATGTCAGGGGAGGATGAGGACGAGGAACCAGAAGGGAAGGGACCTGCAGGCCTGCAAGGGTCCAATTGCATTCATGGGTGCGGGGATAAACGTTTTCCCCGCATTTCGCCCACAGAAACGGGGCGCGTTTAATTGCTTTTCCCCTCCTCCCTCACCATCAACGACAGCCAGTACAACAACGCTTGGACGGACTTGAGAAACATCAATCTGACAACGCGGGCGCAAGTCGGTTTTATTACGGTTCGGAAAACTCCCGGTGCCCGGAAAAACAACAACCACTAGAGGCCCATGGGTACGGCTAGCTTCCACCGCACATCCCTCATCCCCCCGGGACACTCATCTGGCCGCCGACTGGGTCCGTCAAGATATCCGGATTAGCTCCCGACGGTACCAGAGATTGGCACATGGCATGGCTGCATGCTGAATTGGTCTCGCTAATCTGCCGACCATCCCTGAGAACGGGAAGGGAAGCGGCCCAGCCTTTGTTGGCTTCTTCCAAACCTTGGGTTGTGAGGCCGGCTCGGTGGGCATGAGAAGTTGCTTCCCCTGGAGGTGGTGTGGGATTTCTGCGTGGTCTGTTAGGCGTATTTACATCTCTTACGATGCCACCGAAACGGAGGGCGGCTGAAACTGAAGCCCCCAACAACGCAAGCAACACTGCGGCCAGCCCGTCTCCAGCCCCGGCATCTACGCACCGCCTCGCTCCCGCCAAACGCCAGAGAGTGTCGAGGGCGTGTGACCAGTGTCGCGCATCACGGGAGAGGTGCGATGGGCAGCAGCCGGAATGTCGTCCTTGCGTATCTCAGAGGCGCCCCTGCTCCTATGAGGTCAGCCCGAAGAAGAGGGGAGTCCAAACTGGCTACATTCGGACCCTCGAGGTGACCCTTGCTTGGGTGTTTGAGAAGGTTCCTGGCAGCGAGGAAGCCCTTGACGCTCTTCTATCACACGACACCGGCCAAGGACAGTCGATTATTGCAGGAAAAGACGCACGCGCTGCCGACCGCCTGCACAAGAGATGGAGAGACAGTCGAATACACAGGTGCATAGATTGCATTTTGTCTGGCGGCACAGTCCCCTCACCCGATCAAGACGACCCCTCTGCTTCAGTGGATGCGAGCGATATTGAGGGCGATGCGACTCGGGCCGAGAAAAACACTGCGGGCCATGCTCAGAGGGAGTCAACGCCCCAACCTAGGGGCACTGGGCACCGTCTTCCGGCCCCCTGGGACAATGGACCATCAGACACCGGACGACATCAGGGAATTCCGTCAAGTCGCACATCCCAGGGATGCCCTGCTTCCTCAAGCCGCTTAAAGCTGCCTCCAAACCACTGGCGACTGCTTGACATCTACTTCTCTCATACACCCACTCGTGGCTACCCATTCTCGAAAAGCAAGACCTGTTTCAAGCGTCGTATCTCTATCCGGAGGATGGACTGGAGATAGAACCTGGAAACCCCTCATCCGCAATTCATGCTGAGCTATGGGCTGCGTTGGCACTGGCATCAGAGCAGGACGCTCGCAGCGCGCATCAAGTCTCGCGAAACCACGCCGACTCGGGCCGCCCTTCGCCCAGCGAGATGTATGATATTGCCCGCAGACTCCTTCCTTTTGAACATGAACCGTTTCAGGTCCACCACGCCCGCGCTTTTTTGCTGCTTGGCCTCATCCACCTGGCTGGTGAGAAGCTGACCAGCGCGAGCTTGATGACCGGCTCAGCTGTCCGCATTCTCCTCAGCCCGGACCTGGTTCAGCATGCCACATCAGAAAAGGAGAAACAGAGGATAAAGCTGGCGTTGATGGCCTGTTTTATCATTGACACCATACTCTCTGTGCGATGCGGCGAGCCACCTCACCTACGGACCGAGGACCTCGCCAATCTGCCACCAATCCCTGAAGGAGGACTTGACCAGTGGGAGCCGTGGACGCCTTGCGACGGTTTTGGCGCCGGCAACACAGGGCCTCGATCGTCTCGAAGTCCTGCGTTCTGCTTGAGCACCTTTAACCAACTTTATGCCATCATGAAGGTCATGGCCAAGGAGATGCCAGAGAGAAGACGAACTGCTTACAGGGAAGGACCAGAGCCACTCATCGCCCGCCTGCAACAGGCAATCGACCCCAATCTGCCCTTCGGAAATTTCATTACCTCTCCTCATTGCGGTAACGCCTCGGTCCCAACTCCTTTTGTGACGCGAGCGACCTACCTCTGGGCCACCGCCCTCGCCGACCCTTTCTCCGAGACTGCCGTGTTATCGCTCAAAGAAACACTGGATCACTACCAGGGCGTGTTCGGAAGATGCGGCATTCCACCGTTCGTAGAAGTTTGCGTTGCGTCCCTCGCCAATGAAGAGTATATTCTAGATGGGGACCGGGAGAGCCTGTTACCCTTGATGTTAACTTACTCCTCCAGATGGTTTGGGGGTTGGGGACCATTTACTCGCAACCAGCAACCCAGCATTCTATCTCAACCGCCACAGAATCCGCTTGAGATCGCGAGATTAACTCCAACACCCGACATTGATACGTCCTACCCACCACTTGGCATGCCACCATTCTACAACAACCCCACGGTACCACAACACCGCCACCGGACCAGCACAGGCTACAGCCTCTGCCCAACCCCATCCCAACCGCCCCTACCACCACCCCTTCAACCAACCCCACCCAACACCACACCCTCAAACCAGCACAATCCACATCCCCTTGGAACACCACTCGAACACCCATCCCATCATTCCCAACCTCAGCCCAACAACACAACAAGACCACCTCCCCACCCACCACCCCCACCTTTCCCGTCAGCAGATTTTGGCCCCAGCCCGGACTACGACGCACTGCTGGACGATCTGGCATCGATCGAGTGTGCTGATGCGGTCGATCTTGATGCACAGTTTATGACGAATGGCCGAGCGGTCTAAGGCGCCACGTTAAGGTAAACCCTTAATTCCTCCTCTGGATTCCGTGGTCCGAAAGGGCGTGGGTTCGAATCCCACTCTTGTCATAGCTTTTTCAGGCGGGAGCGTCTGTCAACTTTTTTGGTCTCCCCCTCTGACGCTCCACCGATGAGGGGAAAGGGGTGCGGTAAACAAGATGTCGGATTGCTCGCAAACCAACCGTTCGGTTCTCTTCTTTTCGTTGTGTCTCTGTAAACATACCAGGGACGGTGCGTGTTTGGTATGATGGCCACTCTCCTGTAGTTCTCTGAGATGAAGATTGGATGTAAACTCATGGTGAATAGGTAGGATACTCCGATATTGTTCGTTTGCAAGTGCTATTCTTACACCCCCAACAACAGTCCCCAACCCAGGGTTTAAATATATCTTAAGCCTCCCCCTTCAAAGCCGCCTTTGCAGCCTGCTCTCCCGCAATCCTCCCAAACACGACACACTCCAGCAGCGACGAACCTCCCAGCCGATTATCCCCATGAATCCCCCGTAATTTCACCCGCAGCCCAAAGCCCTCAATGGGCACCTCCTCCTCCCCAGCTCCGACGACAAAATCTGCGCCCGCTCATTGAACACCGCGCCCCCATAGTGAAATGCACAATAGGCGTCACCCTCCCAATACACACCTCCGCCTCCTCATCCACCTCCTCCGTCTCATCAACCCCCAACCTCCAATGCCCAAACGCCACCCTTCCAAACTCATCTTCCCTCTCCCCTTCACCACCTTGGCATACTCCCTAATCGTCTCCTGCGTCACCGCATCCAGCTCCCGCACCTTCTTCTTCTGCAACAGCCCCTTCCACAAATAAAACCCACATGCCCCGCCGCCGCCTCCGTCGCACCAGGATCCAGCAACAATTGCACGTCCCACTGCCTCAGACCCCCTCCTCCCCTTTGGCCCCCTCCAACCCCATGATGACATTACTCACCCTCTCCCTCGTCTCAAGCTCATTTACCACCCTCCTCCCCCATGCAGCAAAATCCCGCCCTCCCCTCAACATCTCCGCCGCGAGAAACTTCAGCCTTGCCTGCGGATTCGCAGGGTCGACAAACCCCGTCGGGTGAATCTGCACGCTGTCCATGTCGACCAGCCGCGCGCCCGCGGCAGAGAGAATTTTGTGCGCGCCCGGGCGTGGGTCGTTGGTGGACGGGAGGCCGCCCAGGTCAGGCCGGTAGGTGGCTAGGAGGCCGTGCGTGTCGCCGCCGAAACCGCCGGTGGAGAAGGGAGTGAGGGCAGTGACTTCTGCTTCGGTGAGGAGGAGAAGCGGTCGGATTCTTTGAGCTTGGCGAGGAGGGTGGTGACGATGGCTGCGCCGGGGGGGAGTTTGCCGGCGCCGCGGTGGGTGCGGGGTTTGGAGTGGCCGCCGAGCTGGGCGACGACGCTGAGTTCGACGCCAAGGTCGACGAGGAAGTCGACGGCGGACGCGGAGCGGTTGGTGAGGGTTGAGATGAGGGCTTCGCGCTGGTGGCGGACGGGTTGGGTGGCGGTGTGCAGGCGGGTGCCGGCGGAGCGGACAGTATCGTCCCAGAAGGACTCGTCGACGCCGTACTTGGCGGCGTTTTGGAAGCGGGTCGGCGCGCCGTTGATGCCGGAGGAGGCTTTGATGCTGTTGCCGCCGGGCTTGGCAGCGCGCTCGAGGAGGCGGACGGAAGGCGCGCCGGCCTGGAGGGCAGAGTAGGCTGCTGAGAGGCCGGCGAGTCCAGCGCCGACCACGATGACCGGGGGGTTGTTTGGGCTCGCCATGTCTGTGTACGAGGCGCGGAAGGATGCGAGGGATGCGGTGAGTCGCTGGTAGAGGATTGCTGTGACGGGTATCAGGATGATGCTGAGGCAAACAATGGAGAGGAGCCGACGTCTTGTCATGTGAAATCGCGCCAGCTTGCTGTCTCTGGCGGACGCTTGTCACGCTTCAAGCTTCGATAAATTCTGAAAATTAGAGGCGAAGGAGAGAACCGGAGGTTCAGTTGCGTTGCGAGAGCGATGATGATTATACGGCTGCGGTTGACATGAATCAGGTGATGATGAGCTGTTCTCGAACGGTGTCTGAGCGCCGCCGTCCGATTTAAGGCAATCTCGCTGCCTGGGGTCCGAGATCTATGCGACACAGGAGGCCAAGATGGAGGGATTTCTGTTGTCAAATACGCAGACTATTTGGCCGAGGAGATGGTGACATCGGAGACGGGACAGTGGTCGATCTGGACACCTGAAAGATCATAAGATGCTCATCACATTGCTTGATGCCGTCGCTCACAGCACTCGCTGGGATGACATCGTAGACTCCAATCGCAACTTCGACCGTTTATTTCATTTCATCTTGAAGTTCACTTGAAGCTCCAATTCGATTCGCAGCACCCGATTAAAATCACCTTACCCATCCCAAAAAAGGGGAGAAACAACTCAGTCTCAGGCCAAAGCTGGGGAAAGTGTAGGCATCACCATCAATGGCGCCACCGATAGGTACGGAGGTCCACGTCAAAAGTTCTGTCCAGGCGCTAACGACGCCACCCTCGTTTATTAATTTAGTCTTTCTTTCGGCCCTCTTTATACTCATTTCCTCCTTCTAACTGAATAATTTGTTCAATATGCCACGGGATCCTCTCAATCCATGCCTGGATTTGCTCCTGTGACAAGCTCTCCCAACACTGCTCCCATACCTTAATTGCCTCCTGACGGCTTTTTGGTGGCCCTTTCTTCGTTGTATATCTCTTCATCCATGGCCAACAGGGCTCAATTGGATTAAGATCTGGTGAATTCCCTGGCCAAAGTAGTCGTCTGACCCGATGAAGATCATAGAGTCTGGCTTGGAAGTGGTGTGCATGTGCTGGGGCCTTGTCTTCTTGGACTATCGTACCAGGGCTGACCTCCTCACATTCTCTTGCAAAGGGAAAGAGCTTGGGAAGAAGGATCTTCGTCTGGTAACGATACCAATCAATACCTCCTTTTCCTCCTCGCGCCAGTTTTCCATTCTTTTTATTCCATCTCCACTGTGGTTTCCGACCAGAACGGGTGACCAAAGATAACCTCCCCATTTTTGATTCGAGCTCCCAAGCATCACGTAAGACGGGTTCCAGCTCTTCGTTCAGCTTCTCGATATCTTTCTCCGCTTGTTCCTTCTCTTGCTTTGTTTCAGGAAGCCAACAATGGCAAGGGCCCTTTTTATTATAAGAGAAACAACCCCAGAACATAAACTCGGAATATCCTTTCCAACGCTCTCGAATAGCGCTCCGAACAAATCTCTCCTCCGTTGTCCTCCAGATCCGATAACCGCCACGGCGATGAAGAAGAACAACAGAAGTCTCATCAGACCAGATAACTCGTTTCCAGTCCTCAAGAGTCCAGTGTTGGTGAGCTAAACACCATTGGAGGCGTTCAGCCCTCATCTTCTTCGTCAACCCAGGCTTCCTCGTCGGCTTGGTCTTCTTGAAACCCGCAAGTTTGAGAATCCGGAGGACTGTTGTTGCTGAGATGTCGATGCCCTCGAGGCTAAGCGTGCCCGCGAGATCAGCCGCAGTCTTTCACGACCAAACCGGTCATGGCGCACCTGCTTGACAATCTTTTCGATGACTTCAGGGGTTTGCTTAGATGGACGACCAGCGCGAGGGCATCCTCAGCCATTCATCCCTTAAGATGAAAGGCCGGTGATTTGGCTCAAATCCACGTTCGATAGCGCGAGCATAGATGCGGTTGATTTGTAGTTCATCTGATAACTCCTCTTGGCATCACGTGTGCCAAGACTCAGCCGGACACCTCCTCCAACCTGGCAGAGTCCGTCTTCAAATTCCGTCCTCAACTCAAAAGACAAAACAACGCCAGTGGAGACGGAAAACCGGCAAAAATCCCCAACCCAGACCCAAAATCCTCTCCACCCTCTCCCCCAGGGTCCTCCATGCAAAGCCGCCATTAAGCGTTGGCGGCCACGGGGATCAGGCCCGCGGCAGTTCCGCCGAGCATTGCACTCCAGCCCTTGCAATCACCAGAAACCGGGGAAGCGCTGTTGTGTCGTGGGAATCTGTGGGAATTCGTGGAAGTCTGTGTGGAGAGGGTTCCCTCCAGCAAACCGCGGTCCAGAACGCCGAATTCCACCATGGCTCCTTTCTGTGGTTGGGAATTACAAATCTGAACAATGAGAGAGCGTGGGAGTGCCACAACTGCGCCGTTCGCAAGGCAGTTCTCACGGCTGTTGAAAACTCGAGACTTTTGAGTTGGTGGGGTGACATCAAGTGACCCCCACGCATGCCCAGCCAAACCATACCATTATTCGTACTTCGGTACTTGCATAAAAACAACAGAAACTCTAAACCCATTCGCTGGTATCATCACTAACCCATAATCCCACCACACCCCCCATCCAAAAACAAAAAATCTAAGAAATATGCGCAGCATCCGCGCGGCTGGCAACCTTGGCGAGCCTGGCCTCGCGACCCTGCTCCGACCACGGGAAGTGGAAGACGGGGATGAGGAAGAAGGAATTGCTGTATCGGGAAAAAGAATGCGTCAGCACAGTGCCCTGGTCAAGATGGTCTGATTCTCTCAATGCGGCTCAAAAGACTAAGCGAGAAACAAAAAGCTGGGCAATGTCTTGGAATTGACGGAAGTGGCGCGCGATGGCAGCTCTTGGCTCATGCAGCCATCGCTCATCACTCCCGGCGCTAAGGAACGGGACCAGGGGTGAAAAGGACCGCAGCCATCAGGAGACGGATAAGAAACAAAAGATCCATGACGAATTGAGGCGACGGTGGCAAAGGTGGAAGTAATCAGGCGAGAGAAAAGAAGAGAAAAAAAACACGAGACAAAACAAGAAATGGAAAAGGGAGAGAGGGGGGGAAACACACCTGCTATCGGCAATACCAGCAAAGGCATTATACCACGCTAAAAACGCCGCCAGCATGCCAAACCCACCGCCGGCTTGCGTCAGCTTCTTGGACGCAGTCGGCGCATTATTGTCGCTCGCATAATGACCACACGCAAGCATCAGGAAGGCGAGATCCAGCGTGAAGAAGAGCATGAAGAACATGACGGTCGAGCGCAGCGTGCACAGCAGCAGGATGGTCGTGAA